ACTAATACGATATAGCAAGTTTCAGATTTTTAGTCGATCATACCAATAGGTATGGTAGGCTATTAAGATCGGCAAAAAAAAAGTTTTTTTAATTTCACTCAAAATCAGTTATTTGGGTCATAAATGACCTAATTCGTCGGTCTGTCTGTCCGTCTGCCGTCTGTAACACGATAACTCAAAAACCGCTGAACCGATTTTAACCAAATTTGGCACAAAAATACTGTGGCACCCGAGAATCTGGCCATTAGTTTTTGGTGGGGGTGGGGGGTATGGGAGGGGGTTAAAAATTTTAAAAAATCGTAACTCCAAAATTACAGTAGCTAGCGAAACGCGGTTTTCAAATTAAGATTAGGAATAATATTTGCAACAAAATTTGTAATAACATCAAAATCAGCCAAAGTCGCAGTTTTCAAGATATTAACATATTTTAGTTTGGGCGGCTATACGTGCCTCCCGGCGCCAATTTTTATCTACAACCCTGTCTGAATAGAATAAATCGAAAAATACTAAAAATTAGTAAAAATTGTTATTCTCAGCGTCTGTGAATCGAATAATCTAGCTACCGGAAATGTTTTGGGGCATGGTGGTCAGGTTTCGGAAGTAGTTAATTAAGACGTAATTTACCGGATTAACTACGTGTAGTTTTTTCTTCAAAAACTACGTCTTTTCCCGTTCATTAACTACATGAAAACTACGTTAATAAACTATGTATTGATATTATGAATAATTTTTCCTTTGTATGAGGTGTAATAGAGATAATATGATGTAAATTATATATTTAAAGCCATATTTCTTCTGTTTTCTTAAATACATTATGTGTTTTTAAAGCTTCAACTTATTAAAACCTCACCTCAAACCTTTGATATTTGTTATAGTTATTATTGATAAGTTACATAAACTACACCCTCTACATAAACTACATTAACTACATGTAATGTAGTTTATGTAGTTTTTAAAAGTAACATGTAGTTTTCCGAACCCTGATGGTGGTAGCTTTTTGGAAAAAAATAACGACCTATATCCGTCCGCAAGAATCTAAAAAAACGAGGTTTTATTTTTAATTTTAATTTTTAACCATGTTACGATAACCGTAAAAATGTGCAACTATTTTTTTGTATTCCTCGTTCAATTTTCGCTGAAATTATGAGCTTGGTAATTTTTTTTAAACGGTACCGCACATAAAAAAAATTAAAAGTCGATTTTTTCTCAAAATTCGATTTTTTTATGATCAACTCTTGAAATGATAAAAAAATAAATAGCAAAAGTTTTGTATTTTTACGGATATCGTAACATGGTTAAAAATTAAAATTAAGAATAAAACCTCGTTTTATGTTAGGTTCTTGCGGAAGGATATAGCTCTGATTTTTTTTCCAAAATCATGCCTCAAAACATATCCGGTCGCTAGATCATTCGATTCACAAGACGCTGAGAATAACAATTTTTACTGATTTTCAGTATTTTTCGATTTATTCAGACAAGATTATAGATAAAAATCCGAAACTTGCTGTATCGAAGTATTTTATGGGTACAAATACTCATATTTCTTGAAATTATGAGCCCGATTCCTTCAGATGGGAACACAGATGGGAACTTTAATTTTTAATTTAGAAAGATATAGTAAAAAGTCAAATAACTTAGCTACAAATTTCTTAAATGTTTATCCCAAAGTCGGTCCACTAAAACAAATATAAAACTTTAAAATGAAAATCTGAAAAAAATCTGAAACTTGCTGTATCGAAGTATTTTATGGGTACAAATACTCGTATTTCTTGAAATTATGAGCCCGATTCCTTTCTGCGGCCGATTCGTTATTCTTATCATCCCAGGGCCTTTGAAGAGAAAAAGAAGATGTTTTTGGACGAGACCCACTTTGCGAAGCCGAACGAGTCAAAGAGTCGAAACTTTAATAACAGATAACCGTGAAGATAGACATTATTTTATCAAGCTAGATACGCTCTAGTTTTACCAATGTCAAACGAAAATTTTAGCTGTTACCTTAAGATTTATGGAAGCTGCGGCTATTAGAGATGAATTCGCAGAGTACGTTGTTTCGCAGCAGGGCAAGTTCCTTGGCAAATAAAATGCTGCTAGTTAATAAAACTTGTAACTTTCTGCATATAATTAAATTAGAATTGTTATTAACTAAACGCATTAATTACTTGCTGGTATACGCATGGATAATCCTCCAGCTTCTGGACAAGTATTTCTTGTTCTTAACAAAACCCATAAGCGCAATCCAAGGCTTCCATTACAATACAATTATACACAAAAATATTAAATTTGTGGAAGGGGTGAAATACGAGTACCGAATACCTACATAATTTTGGAAAGAAATGAAACAAGATTATGTGTTTCTTCGGAGGTAATTCTAAATCTTATTAATGTTCAATATATTTCCTATGGAAATAAATTATAAAACCTCCAACTACTGAGTGAGGTCGGTATAGTTGCGAAACGATCTTGAAATGTCGTCGTATGAACGGTAATAAAAAGTAGGTGTCGAGTTGAAGAAAAACTTTCAATAATCCGTTTTAATTACATTTGCTCGAAATGTACATGCATGGCTTATGCAAATAAGTAAAGTGAAATACGATACATTCTGCAAGACGTGTGTTTTTATTTCGTCGCGGTTTTATAACTTAAAAATTGCTTTTAAAACTTTAAATCCCATTGAAAAACCAGCCAACCCTTTACGAGAGGAGCGTCAAGTGCTCCAAGTTTGCTCCAAGTGCATACTATTTTCCGTTTAATAATGCGGGATGTTATAGGATTTCCACTAACAGTTAAATGTCAAGTTTAAATACATTTTAACGTAGCAAGACGTGTTTTAAGGACAGTAAACCAGGCTTGGGTATTTTTAAAATTCCCTTCATTCATTAGTGACGCCGTTTTATGTGTTACTTTTATAACCCCTGCGTGCGTATATTTTTTATGACTTTTCAGCATACACTTCTTCCTTTTGCTCGCTCACGAATATTCCTAGAAGTACTTATTTTTGGAATAAGTAGAAGATATCGGATGACATTTTAATGTACAAACTTTAACAGTATAGTCTGTTTCTGTTTTATAGATTTCGTGGTCTTATAGATAAAGTCGCATTATAACTAAAAACTACAATTTACCACAAAAATTCCACAATGAGGATTAACCACACTCACCGGCACGAAAGACGGACACCTTAAAATTTTGGTGTATTTTAAAGTTTAATATATTTTATTTTAGTTCGCCGATTTTGATGATATTTTAAGCAATATGTAGCTAAATTATTTGTTTTTTTAGTATCTCTTTCTAAATTAAAAATGAATGTTCCCATCTGTCAATTATACGAGGGAAAACAAAATTTTAATATATTGGTGATAGTTTGGAACACCCTGTGAAATATGTTAAGACAGCAAGGAATTTAAAAACTGCATCTTTTCTCGATAGTTTGTTTTTTGGTTCATTTCAATAGCTTTACTTTTTTCGGAGATATTCGCTTTTGAAGAAGACACTAACATTTTTTCGTAATTTATAGATTAAAACCATGGCTTTGCTTTGGGTCCTAGTCAGCAGACCTAGTAAGTTGTGGTCCCGAAGCAGGCCTTCTTAACATATTCCTTAAACAGATAACAACTTAACAGATTTGCTTCATTTAATCTTCTTCTACAGTCCGTTCACTTACATGGACGTTCCTGAGATGCAATGCATTATAAATTTGAAAAGCTGGCAAACGGCGGCGGTTTCTTAGCGATATACCTACTTAAATAAATCGATCGTCTCGATTCGAAGTTCTCATACGAAGGTTTCTGGACATTGCATTTTTTCTTTTCATTTTTCTGGACATTTGTTTCATGCCTCAAAACATATCCGGTCGCTAGATCATTCGATTCACAAGACGCTGAGAATAACAATTTTTACTGATTTTCAGTATTTTTCGATTTATTCAGACAAGATTATAGATAAAAATCTGAAAATTGCTGTATCGAAGAATTTTATGGGTACAAATACTCATATTTCTTGAAATTATGAGCCCGATTCCTTCAGATGGGAACACAGATGGGAACTTTCATTTTTAATTTAGAAAGATATAGTAAAAAGTCAAATAATTTAGCTACAAATTTCTTAAATGTTTATCCCAAAGTCGGTCCACTAAAACAAATATAAAACTTTAAAATGCATCAAAATTTTAATTTTAATGAGTCTATACAAAGCCCCGATCATTTCTCGTACAGGGACTCATCTAACTCAAGTTAAAAATATAATACAAAATATAAAAACAGCCTGACAATGCTATTGTGACTTGTTACTTATGTAATTTGATTTAGTTTATAGGATAGGAACTCTTGAAATGATAAAAAAATAAATGGCAAAAGTTCTGTATTTTTACGGATATCGTAACATGGTTAAAAATTAAAATTAAGAATAAAACCTCGTTTTGTGTTAGGTTCTTGCGGAAGGATATAGCTCTTATTTTTTTCCAAAAATCATGCCTCAAAACATATCCGGTCGCTAGATCATTCGATTCACAAGACGCTGAGAATAACAATTTTTACTGATTTTCAGTATTTTTCGATTTATTCAGACAAGATTATAGATAAAAATCTGAAACTTGCTGTATCGAAGTATTTTATGGGTACAAATACTCATATTTCTTGAAATTATGAGCCCGATTCCTTCAGATGGGAACACAGATGGGAACTTTAATTTTTAATTTAGAAAGATATAGGTAGTAAAAAGTCAAAAATAATTTAGCTACAAATTTCTTAAATGTTTATCCCAAAGTCGGTCCACTAAAACAAATATAAAACTTTAAAATGCATCAAAATTTTAATTTTAATGAGTGTCTATACAAAGCCCCCATCATTTCCCATACATGGACTCATCTAACTCAAGTTAAAAATATAATACAAAATATAAAAACAGGCTGACAATGCTATTGTGACTTGTTACTTATGTAATTTGATTTAGTTTATAGGATATTTTCCGGCAAGTATTATACTAAAATATTTATTCTTTTTCAGAGGTAAATACGCGACAGTATGCCGAGCAGTTCACAAGAAAACAGGCACACATTATGCAGCAAAATTCGTAAAAAAGAGACGCAGAAATCAAGACCAGATGAATGAAATCATACATGAAATAGCCGTACTGATGCAGTGTTCCTCCACAAATAGAGTAATTCGGTTACACGAAGTATACGAATCTCTCACAGAAATGGTATGTATCTTTAACATTTTTGGAAACGTCTAACAAAATATACCATGAAAAAAAATGAAAAATCTCGAATGATGATATCTCGCGGGTTCACTTAATGACTTAATAGAGTTCTAAGTTCTAAACCCTACTTTTTACACTACTACTACTTGTTATCTACTTGTTATCTACTTGTTACTGTACAGGGTGTCCCATTTGGGCGTAGTCTGTTATTCTACGAAAAAAATATTTTTAAAGATATGAACTAAAGTTATGTTTTTTTTTTTAAATAACACCCTATATATTTATAAATTATATCATCTGGTTTGCCATAAGCTTCTCAAAAATATATATCACTCTATATTTATTTTCGCTATTTAGTGCAATATTTAAAAAAAATGTATTAAAAGATCAAATTTATTAGTAGGCCATGATTGATAATAAAAGAAACTAAAGAATTATTAAAAGTATACTTTTCTCTCTGTTTCTTGTTTTATTTTGAGAGCCACTAATAAATTCTTATATATTAGGGAAACTTAATTCTCTACCGCTGTTCGTAAATCTTGGAAGCTATCGTATCGGGACTTTTAAATGTTCCTTTAGCTAATTTACGTGAAATATACTTTCAGCAAGATGGGGCTCCCCCTCACAACTTAACTTACAACGTAAATATTACAATTTTGTTAAATTATTATTTCTCAAATCAATGAATTGAAACCAATGCACCCATATGATGACCTCTTTTATTCCTGGATTTGTCCGTTTTCGATTTCTGATTTTGTGGATTTTTGAAATATGAAATATATCGTGGCAACTAACACATGTCGAACCCCTGAAAAATGCTTTAATAATGCAAGCTTTTAGATATTAGCAAAACCCATCCCGTTATAATAAATTCCGTTATAAAAAAAGAAAACTATATTCAGAGATTCAGGGGTAACAGTTTAAAAGTAAAATATATCAATTCCAAATAAATTTTAATATTTGTATGACTATTTTAGTAAATACCATTTTGATTTTTTGTTATTTATCACGGCCTACTAATAAGAAAATGACATATTTTAAATATTGCAGTAAATAGTGAAAATAAATATAGAGTGATATATATTTCTGAGAAGCTCATAGCAAGGCGGATCATATGATTCATAAATATACAGGGTGTTCCATTTGATAAAACATAACTTTAGTTCATATCTTCAAAAATATTTTTTTCGTAGAAAAACAGACTACACTGTATTCTACGTAAAAAGTTCTCCAAGAATCAGTTTTCATCTTCTCCATATTATCCATAATAACGGAGATACGGGGGCTGACCCAAATTGCAAAATTTTCGAAAAGACCCCGTAGCTCAGAAACGAACACAGACAGATTTGTGCAAACCGCATCCTTCTATCTTTACTAATAACGGAGATACCGTATGATTTCAACTAAAATGGGACACCCTGTACTTGTTACATATATTCGTAAGCCGGCTGGCTAGTTATGATCAGGCTGTAGTATTTAGTAGTATTAATAATCGCTATTAATTAATTCAATTTCAGTTGAAGTGCTATGAGGGTTGTCGTTTATATTTTGCATATAGAAGTAGAATAAAACAGTAGATAACTTTAAACACTATTGTTTTTCGAAATATTCTGTACGAAGTGAAATGCATTTTTGCATTTGTTGGAACCAATTCTGAAAGTAGTTATTTTACACAGTTGGTACTTTGAAAACTGCATTTTGAAAGCGCTGACTGCATCTTCTGAGGACCGGAATCTTTGACCACGCAGTTTATTCTTAATTTTTAGAAAAGTAAAAAAGTCGTTAGGATTTAGGTCGGGACTGTATGGAGGATGGTCTGACAATTCGATGGTTCCTTGCTTTAAAAAATCCATTGTTTTTCTAGGTGTGTGGGAACTTGTATTGTCTTGGTGGAGGATCATTCATCGTTGAGGGTTGGTTTTTCCAAACTCAGCAATTACTTTCAGCCAACAAATACCTAAATATGTATTCCAGTCAGCGACCAATCAGCAGTAATAGATTTTTGATTTCGCAGAGGAATTGCTGCTACATGACCCGCTTTTGATACAAATGTCGCCATCATCTTAGGAGTTTTTGGAAATACTTCGGGAACGGATAACTCGTCGGTTTTGGCTCATCTCGGAACACTCAAATAGCCGATTGGTGATTATTTTCGGGTTCATAAGAGTAAATCCGTTTTGTATAGATTTTTGACACCAATTAACTCTAATTGCTTTCTATTCTTCCGTCAACAGATGCGGTATCTGACGAGAAACTATTTTTTACAGATAATTCTTCATGTAAAATTTTTTGAATTGAGGTCTTTGAAATGCCCAATAATGCTTCAATTTCACTATATGTGACATGTCTATTTTCTTGTCCATGTTTAAATTTTCCATACCAATGAGAAACTATCGACTGATATGGTTCAGGGTTCTTCATTACCGTAAACAAAAACCAATTCGGCAAGGCATTCTTTTTGAGACAATTGTCTTCTTCAAAAATTCAGTTTAGGTACATTTTTAAACGAAGCGGTTTAGTTTCTTTGGCGTTAAGTTAACTGAAGAAGACAGTTAATTTTGACATTTGATACATGTCGATAGGCGCCTACTATGTTTCTTTATACAGAATATAAAAGACAACCCTCGTACAGTTTAGTTCAAATATGGAGTACATATATTACAACTATATTTACTTTTAGGTTCTGGTGTTGGAATTGGCCGCGGGCGGAGAACTCCAACACATCTTGGACAGCGGTCAGTGCCTGGGAGAAATGGAAGCTCGCAAAGCCATGAAACAGATCCTCGAGGGAGTTTCGTACTTGCACGACCGCAACATTGCCCATCTCGACCTCAAACCTCAAAACCTACTACTCTCGGTGGAGGACAGCTGTGACGACATCAAGTTGTGCGACTTTGGTATTTCAAAAGTTCTGCAACCTGGTGTTACAGTGCGGGAAATTTTAGGTAACGATCTTGTTTCACAGTTTCATAAGTATTCTCTGATAACAAAGGTTTTACCATAAAAATGCTTTATGATGACAGATTGACTGTCTCTCAAGTTTAATTTTGTGATAATCTATGAATAAGTAGAAGATATATAATAATAATAGCTCCCGTATATAGCGTTTAACGCCTTGGGAGTAGCAAGGTACTTTTCCATACTAGAGCCGTTCGGTATACAAGGTAATGTGGCTAGCATTACGCTTCAACCGCCTATTATTACCTCACTACCTTGAGTAGTAACTACCTAATAAAGTAGTAACAATAAGTAGAAGATAATTTAATAATACATTTATTAACTATTCAATAAATTAGTGTACCCTTTGCTATGGTAGTTTTTACAACGATATTATTTCTTTGTGTTCTAAAACCCACAAATCAATAGTTAAGTTTCTTTGTATTAAATTTTCATTATGATACAAGCTGTCTTGTCTATTTCAGGTACTGTAGATTATGTAGCACCCGAAGTGCTTAGTTACGAGCCCATATGCTTATCGACTGATATTTGGTCTGTGGGAGTCCTGGCCTACGTACTTTTGTCCGGTTTCAGTCCGTTCGGAGCAGACAGCAAGCAGCAGACGTTCTTAAACATATCCAAGTGCTCGCTGAGCTTCGAACCTGAACACTTTGGCGACGTATCGAGTTCGGCCATAGATTTTATCAAGGGCGCTCTTGTGGTTGATCCAAGGTAAGTATTTGATATATTAAACTCCAAAACTCTTAAACCCCTATAATTAATTAAAATTAAATACATACACGCAAAAAGAAAATGAGAGTTAGTTAGTTTGTTAGTTTAAGATGAGAATGGAGTTCATACCTACTGACAGTTTCCTTCTGTTGAGAGATAGAATCTACAATATATCCACAATAACACAATAAATTTCCGCAATAACCGAGTTAGTAAGGGCTTCGAAACCTCATAACTTATCAATTTCCGCAATATTGTATTGTGCAAATTGCTGTACTCGTCTATAGTATTTTTTGCTTCTGCCTGTTCTCCAAAACAAATTAGTCAGATGATCCAAGAACGACAGGTTACTTCAATCTTCTTGATTCTAGGTTTCATGTTCTTTTGCAAAAGCAAGTTGACTTCTGCGATATTCAACAGATACTACCTGGACACAGGGCTGGTCTTCTAGAGAAGAGATTACCTTCAGTTAGTTTTTGACGAACCTTTCACATGCTTACATCCACATTCACAGATCATAAATCGACTATCGCACAATTTGATTGCAAATAACCAAGAACTCAGCACCAAACCAAACCATAATATTTGCTAGAATCGTCTTGAAATAAAGCTACTATCTTGCTGTCCCCGACGTTCTGACAACAAATTGGTGGTTTAAATTAAAGCATAAAAGTTTAATAGCATAAAAGATCATTTGCTTTTTCATTGCCTTCTATCCCTTGGTGAGCAGGCACCCAACGGATAGAAGGAGGCAAGCAGGAGGACTTTATTTTCTTTGCCTAATTTGTTAAGCCTCTCTTTGACCAACTTCGAATTGATGGTTACCGAGTTGATCGCGTTTAGTGCTGCTTGACTATCGGATAAGATGGCTATTTCCTGTTTTCGATAGTTCCCATCTAAGATAAATTGTACGCATATTTCGATAGCGTAAATTTCTGCCTGAAAGATGCTTGGGTAGGTACCCATTGATTCGGAATATTTAGTTTTCGGCCCAAATACTCGTATCCCTGTCCCTGCTTTGGTTGTGGAAGCATCAGTATACCACGTTATAGTATGATCTTTTACATACTGAGCAAACGTTTCTTCCTTCCAATCCTTTTTATTACTCAATACTACAGTGAGGTGTTTCTCAGAGTTGTAAATTCTTGGTATGTCATCCACTGGGAGTTGGAGAAGTGGAATTTTCTTTTTGGGTGTCCCAAGCCCCTGACCTGAAAATTCTCCCAGTACTGTTGACGGTTGATCTCAAGTTATACATGTCTTATATTGGGCATTTGGACATATTTGTCCAACGGGAGGATGTATGATGTATAACAGTTGTGTTCTGCTTTTTTTTATCTTCCCTGATTCCTTGGGCAGATTTTATCAGGTTATGCCATAAGTTTAAAAAGCAAAAATAATTGCTACATATGCAATGGATCGAAATTGTGTGTTTATATTATTTGTTATCTTTGCTTATCTTTTCTGGATAAAGCTATTATAATTGATCATTTTCATTCGCGAATCGATCTATATCTAAATCTGTTTGAATATTGATATATTTGTTTTATTTTTCAGAGAGAGGCCTACGGTTCACGAACTCCTCGACCATCCGTGGATCTCGCTGAAGTCCAACCTAGCGCCCGTCCTCGCCCTGCCCACGGATCCGAATCCCATCACCCCGAAATCGACGCCGATCAGCCAGCGAAAGAGCTTCAGCTGCATAACGACGACGACGACGACGGACGGACCATCGCCCAAATCCAAAGACTTTCCGTCGCATAAGCGCAACACTTTGAACGGGTCCTTTCCCGAACCCGGCGTCCGTACGTACACAGTCACCGCTAACTGTCTTTGTCCGCAGTGCGGGACGGCGTGCAGACACCTGTCACACCCGCCCGTCACCAAGACAACCATCACCATCGACCGGGGCATTCTGTGTTAGTTAGTTCTTATCGGTCCGGTGTATGTGTCCGCCGTGCCTTTTGTTGATACTTTGGAGCTGTTTTGATTTGGCCACTAGATTATTTTTGTTCAGAGTGATTGTTCGATATGGAGAAGTTGCTTTCCAGATATTTCATTCCGTGATTCAATAAAAACCCGTTAACTAAATGTGATTACATATCACACGTTTGAATATGTAAAATTAATATTTTACTATACATTTCACGGAACCATAAATTTGTTAAATTGTTCAGAAGAAGTGTTGCCTTTTGATTCTACAAATTGAGGGAACTTCCTCAGAATTAATCTACAGCAGTACTTTGACAACATTCATTAAGTGAAACTGAATACTTTAACTTTAAATACATATCAATAAATTATACAGAGTGGTATCCGAACTGTATTCCGGAATCTTTGGCCGCATATTCTGTAGATAAAAATTAGTAAAATGTTCTTATAAATGTATGTCCTAAAATGCTTAGTTTCGGAGATACCTACCGGGTGTAGAAGTTTCATTTTTATTTCGATTTTTTATTCAAATAATTTCTGAAGTAACGTCAAAATTTGGATGAAAATTGGTGTCTGGGAGTTTTTTGACATGAGAAATTTGATTTTGCTTTTAAAATGATTCCTATTTGTAGAGGACGCCACCTACATATTTTTTAACTGGTTTGAAGAGTAATAACTTTTCGACCTTACCTGTATAAAACAAATCTGAGTAAAAAAATATGCATTTACGATGTTTTTTACGTAAAAAAGCATCTTGGTAAAAATCGCTACGAGTAATGATTCTCGAGATATTTTGAATCAAAATTATCAATACCTGTCATAACTGATATAAATTAAACATGTTGACTAAATAGTTATTATTATTATATTAGTTATAGACTGAAATAATAAATTTGAAATGTTTTTGTGATATCATTTTTTCGAAGAAAAATTGATGATAAATTTAAAAAAATAAAAAGTTCCTAAATTTATCATTTCAGTAAAATAACTATCTGCTTAACATGTTTATTTTTTAGTTAATAATGACATGTATTGTCTATTTCCATTTTAAATATCTTGAGAACGTTTGCTCGTATCGATTTTTACCAAGATACATTTTTTGCGTAGAAAATTACAGAAATGTATATTTTTTTCACTCTAACAGTAGTTTTATACAGGTACGGACAAAAAGTTATTACTCTTCAAAACAGTTAAAACACATGTAGGTAAGCCCCCTAAAAATAAGAGTCACATTGACATAAAAATCAAATTTCTCATGTCAAAAAACTGCCAGACACCAATTTTCATCCAAATATTGATGTTACTTCAGAAATTATATGGAAAAAATCTAAAAAGTAATGAAATTTCTACACCCTATATCTCCGAAACTAAGCATTTTAGGACATATGTACATTTATACGAACTTTTTAACTTATTTTCATCTGCAGAATATGCTGCCGAAGTTTCCGGAATACAGTTCGGACCACCCTGTTATTGGTACCAATTAAGTATTAATCAACCTAAATTCTAAATTCGAAAATGATATTTGAAAAAAATTCCGTTATTCCTCTTACTCAACTAGTTCATACTTTCAATTTTGAATGAATCCTAATTTTAGTAATATGAATAAATTTAAACCAATACATGATGCGTTCCAATGCTGCGGTCCCATGCTGCCGGTCTTAACTATTAACAGGTCATTCCATATCAGCTGGCCATTTTTGATTGATTTTGAGGATCTGCGTTTTACTTGCTGGGCGTCAACAGTTAGAGCATCAGTCTCTATCGTTCGTATAAATAAGTTTCAGTGAAGCTTAGAACCCAGCTTAGCTTGGTTACATAACATAAGATAAGCGAATATTTAGAAAGGTTCACAAATTTCTATGCAAACGATCATAAGGGGGCAGGCTGGTTTAATAGGCTGTGCTCTTAATCCTAATCCTATGCAGTGTTAAGAAAAGTGTTGTTTTTTTTTGTATTCTTAGGGCTAATCCTAAAACCAAATTGCATGTTCAATGCATGTAGAATAATAGTTGACAATTTAAAATTCACAGGTTCAAAATGTCTTATAGTATCTTCTTTGCTCTAGTAATGATGAAATTTTGTTCACAACCAAATCAATGGCAGCATTGAGTAGATTAGTGTTTCATTTTCTAAACTTTAATAATATATTTGTAAATTTAGTTTAACCAAAACATAATATGTATTGTATGGACACATACTAAAAGATTCTTAAAAAAATGGTAGTACGAACAACATTTTAAATAAACTCTTGGAGATAAGTTTGTAGGACTGATGTTAAGAATAAGACCGATCTGAAATCTGAATCAACCAAAAAACGCGTATGTTAATACTTTTGTTTTAAATATGATTCTTTATGCGCTTTATTCAGGAAGGAATGTTATAATCTGAAACCTTACCCTTTACTTTCACAGTTAGGATGATATTTATTGAAAAGAAACGATTGTTCATTTCACTATTTTTAAATCTAGCACTTGGTTCTTTTCAATAAATATCCATTTGTTGTTAAATTTGCTGTTGTGATTAACTGTGAGACATTTTCTTTCATTTTCCGGCTAGCAACTCTTTTTGTATGTACATATATGTTGGCATTAAACAATGTCATTGAATTAAAAAAAAAATCTTTCTGGGTATTTAACTTCTATTGGAAAGCAATTTTTCTTCAAATATTGAAAACTGAACAATGGCATATTTACACTACCTATCTTTATCTTTTTCAGTTTTGATGTCTTGATTATTTATTTATGAATTTTCAAATTGAGGTACAATTATTGATTATATACCTCAGTTTGAAGACACCAAGAATATATTTTATGTAGTAGAAAATAAATAATGTATCCAATGAAAAAGTCGTCTCAGATAATCTAGAGGATCTAGTCTCTAAGGAATCTTATTAGTGCGAAACTAAGTTTTCTCTGGTAAATAGTCTAGAGACCATTTAACAGAAAGGTACACATGGTATACCAACTTGGAAGGTCTTAAGTGATTTATAACATTATTCTATTACCAGCGTATATTTTAGCATTTTTCCAATTTTTTTTTATGCAATGACTGATGGGTAACTGAATAATTAAAACACTATTATTTCACTCGTGATATTTGTTTAGATCTGCCGTTTTCCAAGTATCTCTCTATACCTACATATAATTTTACCATGGTATACAGGTATGGTCATCCTAAGTTGTTGATCTGAAAGATAAATGTAGCCAACTTCCATTATAATCTAGTATATAGATAGAAATGCAGTATTGTCCATTCCTTAGTATGGTAGCCTTAATAGTAGTCACCAATAAAATGTAATATATTATGTGATGTATTAGAACTATAGCAAAGCCACTAATTAATTTTTGACGTATTAAACTACATGACTGCTTCAAACTTTTTGGTCGGTGACAAATAAATTAATAGAAAATCCGACATTACCACATATGAAGAAATGTATCAAAGCCTACTCTTTGTCTCTTTTTAACTCATATCTCCATCATTATCTTACACATTAAAAGCGAGCCGACTCACATAGGATGACCAGGTCTGTGTATCTGGTTTATTAGATCACTAAGAGTGCATTTTTATTTGCGACACCATGTATAAATGATAAATATATGTATATATCACTTGAATAACTGTAAGTTATTGATTAAAAGATTAAAATATGAATAATCAAAAGGCAAACAGTCAAAACTGGTAAATAAAATAGAAGTAGACATAGACATAAATGTTTAAGAAACTTTATTTTTATTTCTTTTGAGTGAATATTTAATGTTCAGTAAATTTTTCATTTCAAAACAGTTCCAAAAATACTGTGTTAGCTAATATTACCTTTTTGCTGTATGTACGCACCTCTTAAGTTACGTTATGTCCTCAGAGCATAAGACTACTTTAAATGGTTTATATTCCAATAAAAACATTAAGACAGGTCCACGAAAAAAGTTCTCATTAATAAACGCTGCAGATAGTGTTTAAGGCTTAAAATAATTTTTAAAAAGATGTACTGCCAAAAGCAAACTGCCGTCGCCGTCAGGACATACGTCATCATTTTATTGGATTATGACACCTGGAAATTATCATTGTGCTTAAGTGAGGTCCATGTACAGAACAAGTTTTTATTTAAGCAGTAATTTATATTTCTGTTGCTTTTTTTACTTTTGATCAGTGTATATCTAAATAAAGGTTGATTGTTTTGTCTAAAACAGCGTTTTATTTCATACAATATCAATGTACTAATTTTTTTTATTTTTTTTGTGAAAATTTTTAACTTTTCTCAAGAATTATGAGCGATATTATTTTAACTATTAAATAAAGACTATATAATGATCATTTGCTTATGTATTTACATAAAAATGTTGTGGCCATTGCTTCTTTGTTTCATTTATTGTCATCATAAAACTGTCATAAGAATGGGAATCAATGTGGTTTTTTGTCATTCTCATTCTAAATGTACCTATTTAGTGAAAATTATTCCCTTAATGGAGTACCAAGCATTAAGTTTTTATTTTTTATATTATAGACACATTTAGTTGATGATTGTTTTTATTTTTATGGCATTTTCTTCATTATCACGTTGACAATTATAAAATTATAATTTTCCATAAGAACTGTTACCTATCTTAATTCAGACAGCTTGAACATAAAATTCTGTGATAACATGTAATACCATATGATTGAAAAAAAAATGGTGTCAAATAGACTTGATGCAACGAATGCTATTTATTTCAAGATGGAATTTCATAAAAAATTGTTTGCTATTACAGCGCTTTCAGATGGAGCGGATTGTCCGCATGTTTTTATACTAATGTATGTTTATGTATATGGCTGTCATCCGGACGGAGCATACGCGACCCATGTGAAATTTTTCATACTCATGGTACTTGCTCGAAGTCGCGGACGGTCCGCGCGGATGCTCCGCTCCGTCTGAAAGCGCTGTTAGAGGAGAGCTTATCTTACTTAAATTTTTATACATTTTTGATAAAAATAAATAATAATCGGATCGAAAATTTGAGGTTACAGCAGCCTTTGGGAAATTTGAAACGATCAGTTATTTCTATCAAGCAGACTCTTTTATCTCATTTTTTGTCTATGATCTCCTTTAATAAATATTGATAGAAAGTTATAAAAACGTAAAAGTTTCCAGATACGTCAAGGAACACGCAAATCTATTTAGATATACCAGTATTATCGAAAAAAAAACGGCGTCCAGTTGGCTGGGATATGATCGATGACATTTCTCAAATAAAATGATGCGATCTTCATTTCAACTTTTTCGAAAATAGATTTGTGTCAGGTAACTCTGTTATCTTCTACATTAAATATTAACTGGATGCATAATTGGAATCCATAAAGGCTATTGTGACGCCGTTTATTTTCTATAATACTCTATATCATTTATAAGGTATCAATAATAACAGAAGCAAAAATAGATAAAGTTAACAAAAAAAGTGGATTTCTTAACCGCAATCTGTAATTTTTGCCCATTGT